ACACGGCGGGGGTGCCCAGGTGGGGGGCAGCAGTGAGGTGCAGGTGCCCAGCTGTGGGGGCAGGTGCCCAAATTCGGGGTACAGGTGCCCAGGTGTGGGGTACAAGTGCTCAGGTGTGAGGTGCAGGTGCCCAGGTGTGGGGTACAAGTGCCCAGATGTGGGGTACAAGTGCCCAGGTGTGGGGTACAAGTGCCCAGCTGTGGGTGCAGGTGCCCAGATGTGAGTCCAGGTGCCCAGGTGTGGGGTACAAGTGCTCAGGTATGAGTCCAGGTGCCCAGGTGTGGGTACAGGTGCCCAAATTTGGGATCCAGGTGTCCAGATGTGGGGTACAAGTGCCCAGGTGTGGGTGCAGGTGCCCAGATGTGGTGCAGGTGCCCAGGTGCGGGCCCAGGTGCCCAGGTGTAGGTGCCCAGGTGTGGATCCATGTGCCCAGGTGTGGGTTCCAGGTGCCCAGGGGCAGGCCCAGGTGTGCAGTGTGGGTGCAGGGCGTTGCAGGTGCCACCTGGGGAGCTCGGGGCCGGTGCCCCGGCACAGGGTGGCGCCTGTGAGCCAGGTGGTCACCGGGGCAGGTGACAGAGTGACCCGCGGGACACCTGGGACAGGTGACACCGTGAGCCAGGGGACAGTGACCAGGTGCCAGCTTTGGGGCCTGCAGGTGCCAGCTGACAGGTGACAGTGACCCAGGTGCCACAGGTGACACCGTGACCCAGGTACCAGCTGTCAGGTGACACAGTGACCCAGGTGCCAGGTGACACAGGTGACACAGTGCCCAGGTACAAGCTGCCAGGTGCCAGTTGTCAGGTGACATAGTGCCCAGGTGTCGGGTGACACAGGTGACACAGGTGCCACAGTGCCCAGCTGTCAGGTGACACAGTGCCAGGTGCCCCAGGTGACACAGGTGACACAGGTGCCACAGTGCCAGGTGCCAGGCGCCCCAGGTGCCCCAGGTGCCAGGTGACATAGTGCCCAGCTGTCGGGTGACACAGGTGACACAGTCCCAGGTGCCAGGTGTGCCAGGTGTCCCAGGTGACACAGGTGACACAGTGCCCAGCTGTCGGGTGACACAGGTGACACAGGTGCCACAGTCCCAGGTGCCAGGTGTGGGAGACCCCAACCCCTTTTGGGGGGGTCAGGAATGCTTTGCCCTCCCCCCCCCAGCGAGTATTTTGGGGGGGGGTCTCATCTCTTTTTTGGGGGGGGTCGTGGACCCCCGACCATGGGAGGGCGCAGGGGGGGTTGGGTGTG